AGTGCCAAAAGATGAGTCTCTCAAATTCAAAGGCACTCAAAATATGACTAAGAATTGTTGCCCCAAAGTAGTTGACTTTAATGAATGATGTGAAGAATAAAACTTCCAAGACCTTCATTTGCTGATGAGGCGTTAGTCAGAATGAGGCTTTTTACTCCAGTAAAGAGTTACAGTCTCAGAAACCCACAGGGGCAGTTCTACTGTGTCATAGAGGGTCACTATGAGTCAGAGTTGACTTGTGGGCCCTGAGTTTTTCAGTTGAGTTTTAGTGGTTGGTTGTCAATTTGAATAATAGTTGTATTAATTGGACTTCCTTGTAAGCATACAGATATTACTTTTTCAAAAACAGAAAAACAAATCTTGAAATGTTCTTTTAGATGACAGGCGAATGCTACACCATTTCTACTGAATTTGTCATTCCCTACATAGTGAATCATATGATTATCTGAGGCCAAATGTCCAATACTAATCTGTTTTAGCACACTAATACCTAGGATATCGATCTTTATGCATCCCATTTCATTTTTTGACAATTTACAATTTACAGGTTCATATGTTGTACATTTTCTGCTCCAGTTATTAATAGATGTACAAAATATGAACCTAGGAAAATTGGAGTAGAAAGCCTCTTCTTTCTCCTGAGAAGTGACTGGTAGTTTTGATCTGCAACTTCAAAGTGTAGCACACTATGCCATCACAGCTCCTGCACAATTAAAGCTAGTGATGAAGGAATTAAAGGATTCTACCAATCCCTTCTGTCTGAAATTGAACAAACATACACTCAAGATGCATTGATAGCTCTTGGCTATTGGAATACAAAAGTTGTAAATAAAGCAGAAGGAGCAGTAGTTGGAAACTAAAATTTGCTCTTGATCGTTCAATAGCTAAGGTAAAAGGAAGAAATGATGAAGTCAAAACATCGTTTTGTTTTGGAAGCCAAATGATGAAGTCAGAAAATTTCAAAGGGCAGGTCAAGAAGACAAATTAGAGTACTGTAATAAAATTTGCAAGGCTAAGCAAGTCAAAAAGGAAAAACTTCATCAGCATATCTCAAGTTGAAAGAATTCAAGAAGGAAAAAAAAAAAAGTCTCAAGTTGCAATATTGAAGGAGTCCAAAGGCAAAATATTGAACAATGCAGGAAACATCAAAAGAAGATGGAAGGGTGCACGCTTCAGCAGCACATAGACTGAAATTGGAACAATACAGAGAAGATTGGCATGGCTCTGTGCAAGGATAACACTAAAATTCATGAAGTGTTCACTAGATTTTCCCTCTTCCCTCTTCCCAGGAGGGATGAGGCAAGTGGCCTCTTCCTGCCAGTTTGATGCCTTCTTTGGCCTTTCCAGTCCTGCTCACGTCTCTGTTTTCAAAGTCCCAAATAAATCTCCTTCTCCATCTTTCTCTTTTCCCAAAGCATAGTGATGACACTAAGTCCGGACCAGCACCAAAGTGAAAGGTACCTGCTTGCTCTTGATTTTAGTCCTAGGTCCTAAGGTGGGGCAGAAATGTTTGTTGGACTGCAATGGAAAGTTGGCAGAGCACCTCAACTGCTACTGCACACTGGAATGGCCCCCATGTCCAGATGATAAATGCTGAGCTGTCAATATACATATGAGTGTGTGTGTGTGTGTGTGTGTGTGTGTTAAGAGGAGTTTAAGGGAAAGGGAAGGCTTACCCCTGAGGTTATTCAGCAGGAAGATAAGCTGTGCATAATGGCAATAATCTCTAGAATATATTGTACTAACTGATCTGTTTGGGGACATATTATCCAAATTAAAAAAAAATTTTTTTAAAGAAGAAGATGGATAGAACACACAGATTCATTGTACAAAAAAGAATTGGTCAGCATTCAACTAATTCAAGAAGTAGCATATTATCAGACACCAATGTTATTGAAGGGGGAAGTCCAAACTACAGAAAGCATTAGCAAACAACAAGCCTCCAGAAATTGAAAGACTACCAACTGAAATGTTTCAACAAGCTGTTGAAGCACTGGAAGACATCACTTGTCTATGCCAAGGAATCTGAAAGAATTCTAGCCAGCCAAGCAACAAAAAGAAATCCATGTTTTTGTTCATTCAAAAGAAAGGTGACCCTATGGAATTCAGGACAGATAAAATCCTCAGGAACAGTAGGGGATGGAGAGGGGAAAAGAGGAGTTGGTACAAAGGGCTCAAATAGAAATAAGATCTTTTGGAAATGTTGATGGCAACATATGTACAAGTGTGCTTAATACAATGGAATGATGGGTTGTTATAAGGTTTGTAAGAGCCCCTAGAAAATGATTTTTTTTTTTAAATAAGAAAGGTGACCCAATGTGGAAATTACTTAACAATATCATTAATATCACATGCAAGTAAAATGTTGCTGGTGATATTTGAAAAATTGTTTCAGCTCTACATGGACAGGGAGCTGTCAGAAATTGAAGCTGCATTTAGAAGAGTATGGCACAAAAGATATGATTGTTAATGTCAGATAAATCTTGTGTGAAAGCAGACAATTCCAGAAAGATGTTTATTTGTGGCTTATTGACTGCAAATTGTATACTGACTATGCTTTTGTCTGTCTGGATCACAAAAAAACTATGAAAAACATTGAGAACAATGAGAATTCTAGAGCACTTCATTGTGTTCATTTGGAATCTGTTCGTTCACCAAAAGGTAGTCATTGAACAAAACAAGAAAATACTGCATGGTTTAAAATCAGGAAAGGGGTGTTTCAAAGTTTCCATTCACCATACTTTTCAGTGCAAAAGACTTCTGCATCCGGACTTGAAAATGGCCTATTTACAATCTTTGATATAAAATTGATACAACTTTGCTTGCTGAGAGCAAAAAGGACTTGAAGCACTCGTGTGAAGATCCAGATCTACAGCTTTCATTATGGAGTGCAATTCAATGTGAAGAAAACTAAGAATCCGTAGCTTCGGGATAAGGATATATCTGACCAGAGCACACAGGAGCAGATGACGGGGGAGGAGGAGAGACTGGAGCACATCCTGGCCCAC